ATCAGATATACCATCACAATCACTGAAGAACATTGTTGAGATAGATCACATATACCATCACAATCACTGAAGAACATTGTGTGTTTATTTTATACAGGCGTGTATAAAACACTATTTAAACATTAGCTGAAGCTACAAAGATGATACTCTACCTTAATACTTGACATGTGCATGTGTAACATTGTAAATCCAAGATGTATAGTTACTTTTCATGACTAGTCATTATCAGTAAAAGTAATATTGGGAACTTTTGGACATACATGTTTATGTGTGTTAATCCCACCCTCCCACATATATATATTTGTTATAATTTATGTGAAGCACTTCATGGGGATCTATCCCAGTTTGTAGTGTCTGAAGGCCTCTATTAATCTAGTTAATACCTCAAGTGAACCAAGTTCGATTGCCTGTGGATCAAAATGTATTTCTAAAGAGATAGTCTTTATCATGGTGTGACTTTACATCAGTATTAATATGAAAGGGTGATCCCGTTATCCTAAGGTTCCAAGGTTTTCTATCCCTATTTTTGGGGCAGGGATAGAATTGGTAGAATGTAATATAGATGGTGCCTTTTCACTGGCACCAGTTATCTCTGCCTAATAAAAAAAGCCTGCCCTCTTAAGTTTTAAATCTTTTTTTGTTTGTTTATTAAATTAAAACCAAAAGTATTGTAGACTAAGTCAACTGTAACATACTTTTCCAGAAGTTGTAATGGGTGCTCTCACACTGAGTGTCTCGACTGGCTTGTGCTGCCCTTGCAATAAATGACTATCAAACTGTGCTTAGGTGAGGTTACTTGCATGTAATATTTTCCTTTTAAGCACTGTTCTTTTGATATCTTGTCTCTGTAGTTTGTGTAAAGATAATTATATGACACCCTGATCTTATTAATGTCATTTTAGCTCTGTAGATTGTATGCACAAAAATGTATTTTGAGTTTTGTTAAATTTAAAGCTTATCATGGTACTTAAAAACAATGTGCTCGTATGTATGATCTCATAAAATTTTGTACACAATTAAAGTCGTTTGACATGAATTAAGATTGGGTTTCACATATTATTAAACCTATTGTTAAGTTCCATCTATAGTTTTCCAAGAGAGTTGAGTATTCTGGTAAAATGCATTTGAATGAAAGGGTTTTAAAGAAATAATTTATCAAAAATTTGGGTATTTTCTTCCTAACATCTTAATGTTTACTAATTTATAATTATATATTTATTATTTATTCTACTCAGATTGGTTTAACATTCAGCACACTTGCAAGCAGTTCTGTATGCCTATGTCAGGATCTAAACTCTCAAAACCATTACCCATGAGAGATAATTTATAGGTCCACTCAAGACCATTACCCATGAGGAATAATTTATAGTTTGACCCAAATCACTACCCATGAGGGATAGTTTATAGGTCAACTCAAAATCACTACCCATGAGGGATAATTTATAGGTCCACTCAAGACCATTACCCATGAGGAATTATTTATAGTTTGACCCAAATCACTACCCATGAGGGATAGTTTATAGGTCAACTCAAAATCAATACCCATGAGGGATAATTTATAGTTCAATTCAAAATCATTATCCATGAGGGATAATTTATAGGTCAACTCAAAACCATTACCCTTGAGGGGTAATTTATAGGTCTACTCAAAACCATTACCCAGGAGGGATAATTCATAGGCCAACTCAAAACCATTACCCATGAGGGATAATTTATAGTTCAATGCAAAACCATTACCCATGAGGGGTAATTTATAGGTCTACTCAAAACCATTACCCAGGAGGGGTAATTTATAGGTCTACTCAAAACCAT